TCAGCCTGTCATCGTAGGGTCTGCTTCCCTGACCTCTGATCATGCGCGTGGCTCTTCTCTGCACTCTCTCAAGCTTCTCCACATCCTTTTTGAATTGTGGAGCCCAAAACTGGACACAGTACTCCAGCTGCAGCCTCACTAAGGCCGAGTACAGGGGGAGAATGACGTCCCGGGATTTGCTTGAGAAGCATCTATGGATGCAAGCCAGCGTTTTGGTCGCTTTACTAGCCGCCGCATCGCATTGCAGGCTCATGTTCATCTTGTGGTCAATGATGACCCCCAAGTCTCTTTCTTCCATAGTGCTAGCCAACATAGCACTGCCGAGCCTATAAGGATGCTGCGGGTTTTTTTTCCCCAAGGTGGAGAACCTTGCATTTATCGGCGTTGAACACCATCAGATTCTCGTCCGCCCACTTGCTGAGCCTGTCCAGGTCAGCCTGGATAACCTGCCTGTCTTCTGGTGTGGATGCTTTGCCCCAAAGTTTGGTGTCATCGGCGAACTTGGCCAGTCCGCTTCTGACTCCAGTGTCCACATCATTAATACATAATACATGTGGCCCGGGCCCACATACATTTGGGCCCGGGCCCAAATTAAATGTATTTTTTTAAAAATCAGTCTGACAAACATTCTCAAATCTTAATTCTGATTTTCTTGGAGGCATCATGGTTCAGATTCTGTTATCTTCTACATAGGTTATTATATCACACTTTTTACCTCATATCCAGTGCCTGGGACAAAGAGGCTAATGGAAGTCCAGGACCAGAGCCAGGCATGTAGCAAATTGCTATCTGTGTCTTCAAAAATCACACACAACCATCTGCTAAAATAGATCACCCATCACAGAAATAAATATGTACTTGCTTTCAAGTAGCTCCCCATTTATTCTGATGCTAATAACATATATTTAACATTTTAGGAATAAATATTGCCAATAATCAACATGCATTTGATTTCATTATGCAGTCATACTGCTTGTAATCACTGAACTTGCTGCTAGTAATACCAGCTAATGCAAAACTATCATAACATTATTATTTTTAAACTGAAGGGCAGCTTTAATAACCTTTTTTCAAATGAAGATGAATGCCATGAGTTTTGTTTTGTTTTTCCCCATTTGCTACTGGAGACTAATAAATAATTTCACTGCTACTGTTAGTGTACTTTTGTTGCACTACTGAAGTGACTTTCTCTCCTCCTCCCCCACCCCATTCCATGAAACACTGATGGTAGCCCACTTTACTTAAGTGAACTATCCTAACCTCTGGGACCAATCTAAAGTACACATTTCTGGCCAGTAAAAGGATATCCTATTAACCACCTTTACATTTAAAAGTATTGATCTAGAACCTTGAGCATGCCTTGCTTCAACTTTTCAAAAAAGCATTAAGTTCCTTTGGGCACTAGCATTTATATTCATAGATTCCAGTCATGCTCAACCAGCAGCAATTAGAAGATATCCCTCGAGTAACAGCATTTCTAAAAATATTTTGTATGCATCATGAAAGATGAAGTAGCATTTCCTCTAAAGTAATGTACGTTGTACATTTAAAAATAATTAGCACACTAGACCCTGCAAGTGGTAATAAACTAATTATTGTTCACACTACTACTGGTAGATATGGTAACATTAGCAGTTATACCTGTCTAAACCAGATCTCTTAAACCTAACATAGTAAATTCAAGGCACTTCCTCCATTGTGCTTGCAGTCTGAATGGCCATTTGTTGGGCACAAATACTGCTCTGTAAAAGCAAAAAGCACCATTTTAATATTATAAAAGCCTAAGTCTGTCAGTCTGTCCATAATGCTTTATTCACGCTCTGACTGGCTGACAAACAGCCAAGCAGAGTGCGAACAAGTCGGCGGTGGTGGAGCACCACCATGATGGTGGGGACACAGTGGATGGAGGCAGCTGGCCTTGCCCCCCACGCCCTGCTCCCTGGAGGTGGGGGCAACAGAGCAGATGGAATATGGGGGGTGAGGCCAGCAGTGCTGGGCTCGCCCCCCATGCCCTGCTCCTTGCAGGTGGCGATGATGCAGCGGAGGTGGGGAGCTAGGCCACCAGAGCTGCCCTCACCCCCCACTTACTCCTTGCAGGTGATGGCAGTGGTGGCGGTGTGAGCTCCTCACCAGCTCTGGCCTCGGCCCACCCCTCCTCTCTTCCATCATTGCTGCCTACAGGGCCTGATGTGGTGACGGTGAGGAGAGCAGCGGGCACACCATGGTGGCAGGAGTGAGGGGAGGAGAGGAGTGGGCCCGGGCCCAATGCAGGGGAAGACCGGGCCCAAGGGTGGGAAGAAGCCGGGCAGTTGCGGCAGGGGGAGAAGCGGGCTTGGAGCCAACACAGGAGGGGTGGGGAGAGGAGTGGGACCAGGCCCGAGGCGGGGAGGAGGACCAAGCCCAAACTAGAGGGAGAAGCCGGCTCGCCGCGGCGGTGGGGGGCAGGCACTGTGGGCCTGGCC